CGAGCGGCTAGCTGATGAGCCACCGTTATTCCCCAGGCTATGTTGATAACTAAAAAATGTGTTAATACTTTATGTTTCCTTTGCCAATCTTCTTTGTACAAGACAGAAGGTGCGAACAGACTACCAGCGCCAACAGATTGGACTATAAAATCAAGCACCCCTCCACCCCTCTCTTCCTTCTTGGTACCATGCCCTCTGGTAATGTAATATTTTTCCAATCCGCTGTGGCGCTTGATATAGCCAACATATTTCACCTTCTGAGACAAGATGCTGTTTATCAACCAATCTTTCTTGATGTTCATATGTTTTAGAATGTCATTATTTCTTTTCTTATTTGTCTATGGTATTCACATTTTAAGGTGACACGATGTTGCACTTCTAAAGAAGGAAATAATAATTTAGCCCTATCAAATATAATTCGCCCTAGAAATTCATCCCGGGTTGGACTTCCAAGATATCCTCTTGCAACGAACGTGTTGCCGGCTAGTCTTACACAGATTGTGTCATGTTAATTAGAACCAAGCTGTGTTATTGATTGCTATAAATTTTGAAACGCGTGGTTAGATTGGTTAATTAGCATCCTTAAATTTATAATCACTTTAGTCTGATTTCATGGGTGTAATCAATCACCAGCCACTTGCCGTCTCCACAGTGAAGGTTGGCTGTGGTGTACTTCAAATACGTCCTGTCTCTTGTCCTGGTTGTATACTCTCTCAGACTGCTATTTGTATATTTCTTGATTTTGTCCATCATCATCAGGTGCCTTGCCGACTGGCGTGGGCAATTTACATTTCTTAGCCAACATAATTGACACAAAGAAACCAGACCACAGTTATAACCGATACTTTTCACAGTAGGTTAAACGTTGTCGAGTTTTTTGTTTTGTTTTACATAAATGGACAATGACCCCACTCCCACGCATTTGTCCTTGGTATTGTAAGAATGTTTCTATTAGGGCTGTACCGAATAGTGATTTTCACTATTCGGCCGAATACGAATAGCGGGACGAACTATTCGGCCGAATAAGAATACGAATAGTGAATAGTGTGTAAAATATATCTTTAAAAAAAAAAACACACACACACATTCATAATGTCAAATGTACGCTGAACTTTTACTTCAAATAAAGTAGCACAAAATAGTCATCTTCTTCTTTAGCATTCTAAGCCCTTGGGGATTACTGTTGCAGATATCCCCCGTCTCCATTTATCTCTCTGGCTGGCCTTATCTTCACAATTTGCGACACCAGCTGTTCGCAGGTCTGCCCACTGTTAGCATCTTTGATATGTCCAAAGATTTGTCGTAAGACTGTTTTCAAAAACCCGTAATAAGGCCCCATCTCTTTTATTTCTGTTTTTAGTTTCAAAGCCATATAAAACGACTGGTTTTATCAACGTTTTATATATTTTGATCTTGGTGCTGCGAGACAGACACTTTGACTTTAGATGTTGAGGGCATAGTAAACTTTATTTCTAGATTGTATTCTAGATTGTATTTCTTCTCTCAGCATGTTGGAGCAGTTGAAGCTTGCACCCAAGTACTTATATGTTTCCGATCGTTTGATTGTCATATTATCGACTTGGATGTGGCCTGAGTTTAATTTTCCCCCCCCCCCATGTCTAGTTAGTATTCGTACAGAATAGTAAACATTTTAAAACATTTTATTTTTTGCATCCTTCAGTCAGTCTGTGGTAACTAATAACTAGGAATAAAAGAATCCAAAGTATTATAACAAGTAACTAAACTTGGAAATTGTCACTGACAGCTTAGTTAATTCAGGTAAGCTGCATTAGCTTTCAACAAAACCAATCGTTTCATGTTGTCAGCATTAAGCTGTGTATGCAGAAGCGGGTGTAAGGTAAGTACTATTCGTATTCGGCCCGACTGCAACTATTCGGCCGAATACCGAATAGTCAATAGGTCCACTATTCGGCCCCGAAGCGAATATGAAGCGAATATTCGGTACAGCCCTAGTTTCTATACATTTTAAGCTACTAGTCCTCTATTTCTTCCTAAATGATTGTGAAAGTTCAAGAATCACACCCATCATCATCCTCATCATGTGACTTGCCGACTGGCCTAGGCGATCATGCCTCTCCACAACCTGCGATCTCCTGCAGCATGTATCAGTTCGTGTGCTGACACATCTCCATGCCATGCAACAAGACTGTCAAGAATCTTCTCTCGTTGTCTTCCTCTATCCCTCCTTCCATAGATCTTTCCAGTGATCACAACATGTTCTATTTCAATGATGACTGTCTCCTTCTGATGTCTGTGATAAGTTGTCTTCGGGCTCACGCCTCTTTCAAAACCTCTTGGTTGCTCTTTTTGGCTGTCCAAGGTATTCTAAGCATTCTTCTGTAAAACCACATCTCTGAGGCCTCTAAAAATTGTTTGGCCTGCCTACCGATTGTCCAGGATTCACAGCCATATGTTAAAACTGGATGTATGTAGCAAGCAAGAATTCTTTTTCTAACTCTCAATGACAATGATATATTGCACAAGATGTTCTTCATTTTATAAAATGCAGTTTTTGCCTGTCCTATTCTGTTTCTAATCTCAGTTATGCATCTTCCATCTAATGTTATACATGTGCACAGATACTAAAATTTATGTACTTGTCCTAAAATAACACCATCGACTTTTATTACACATTTAGGAATAATTCATTTCTTTGATACCACCATTACTTCCGTTTTCCCATTATTAAAACTGAGGCCAATTCTTCCATTTTCTAACACCACAATGTTTATAATTTCCTGCAGTTCTTTCTGACTTTTTGCTATCAAGACTCTCTCATCAGCATAACGTAACTTGTTTATATTGTGCCCACCAACCACAATTCCGGGCAATTGAAGATCTCATTATATATTCACTGCACATTGAAAACAAATCAGGTGATAGTACACACCCTTGTCGTACGCCCCTCTTTATGATTTGAAATGTACCTAAAGAGTTGTTAATTTCTTATAGCTGCTGTTTGCTGCCAATACATATTCTTTATTATTCGTAGATCTTTTCCACCAATGTTTAATTTTTTCTAACAGTTTGATTACTTCTTCATGCTTCACACAGTCAAATGCTTTTGTATAGTCTAGGAAGCATAAGTACAAATCAGTCTTTACTTCTATAGCTCTTTCTGACAACGTCCTTAGGATGTATATGGCATTGTTTGTACCTTTTCCTTCTACAAATCCACACTGTTCATCGCTGATTTCTGGTTTAATTTTGTTTCTTATTCTTCTCATAATTATTCTCAGTAAAATCTTAGTCATGTGACTCATAAGACGTATTGTGCGATGGTCTTCACATTTTAAAGGGCCTGGTTTCTTTGGCAGAACTATAAATATGGATTTTAAAAGGTCATTTGGAATATACCCAGTATTATAAATATCATTTAAAAGTTTAGTTATTATTTCAGTTCCAAAATCTCCCAGTGCTTCGATTTCTTCCAGTGAGATGCTGTCAGTAAAATCTTAGTCATGTGACTCATAAGACGTATTGTGCGATGGTCTTCACATTTTAAAGGGCCTGGTTTCTTTGGCAGAACTATAAATATGGATTTTAAAAGGTCATTTGGAATATACCCAGTATTATAAATATCATTTAAAAGTTTAGTTATTATTTCAGTTCCAAAATCTCCCAGAGCTTCGATTTCTTCCAGTGAGATGCTGTCCGGCCCTGGTGCTTTTCCTTTCTTCACATGATGTATTGCGTCCTCAACTTCTGCAGTCATTATTGGTGGGCCATCATTGTTGGTCTGCAGTTCTACATCTGGTCTATTATCATCATACAATTCCCCTATATACTCTGTCCATCTGTTAATTATTTACTATGTCCCAATAATAAGTCACCATCTTTTGATTTTAAACATCCAGTGCTGATTTTGTCCGCCCACTTGTATGATTGTCTACCTCTTACTCTCTAGCCCTCGACAAGCCCCCTCCCCCCGGATGGTTTTCAACAGAGAATGTAGCCATAAAATGTGAGTCTTGCCTTTTATACCCAATGCGCCACTGGCGTGTCAAGAGACCCTTATCTGTACTAAAACACACACACACACACACTCTCTCTCTCTCTCTCTCTCTCTCTCTCTCTCTCTCTCTCTCTCTCTCTTAATTATTACTTTAAGTAACTATCTGGTCATTTGCAACATCCCTAAAACCTCTGTATTTGATAGTTTTTGTTTTGTAACACACGTCCCAATCTGCTGTACATCCACATTGCCAGAGGCTCAATACAATTTTCTAGTTGTATGTTTGTTGTCCGAGTAGGGGGCTGAGTTGTCTCGAGGTATGGCATCCGCCTCAATTGCTGGAGATTCTTGGTTCAAACCCCGGTGAAAGTTGGGATTTTTCTCGTGGACTTCTAGTAATTTCCCAAGACCATCTCCATCTGACGTTAGATCTTGTAATTTTCCCTGGTCTCTGGTTAGTGAGATCGGACGCCCGTGTGTATTGCTGCGTATGTAAACAAAAATACCATGGCAATTGGAAATCGAAAAGAGTAGCCTAACGGCGCTGCCCAGGCAACATTAGAAGTTAAAAATCTACTCAAAGTATTTCAGGATCCTCGCCAGTGCAACGGAGTTCGTGCACTGCACTGAGAACCTTCAGACCCAAGCTTGAGTTAGAAGTAGAACGAAGCAATATTGGGTTACATGCGTGTGCCATCATGTCGATCTGTTAAATAAAACTGTCAAAATTTTTGCACCATATAGTTTTGAGTCATTGCCTTCTCTAAATAGCTCCAGTAGATCGTGGTTTGAGTATAAGTAATAAGTGCAATAAAGTATGACTAGTCATTTATCAAGATCCTAACATATTTGATAGGGATATCTGGAAATGCCTTGTAGACTAGTAATGTTTGGTATTAGTTGCTTGTTTGTTCAACATAACCAAAGAAATAATTAGATTTGCAATAGTAATAACTAATATTGATAAAACATTAACTCGGCTATAAGAATGGTCACGTGATCATAATATGAATTAAATGACAATATGGCGACTAGTGAGAGAACTCCGTTGTTAGCAGACGACAGAATTACATCCCCAGAGAGAAGAGAACCTCCTCCACCTTACTCCTCTGCTCCAGGTGAGTGTGAATTCATGACTGTCTTCAATATTGAAGCCGGTCATGGTGAGTTCACCTGCATTATTCATTATTTTAGTGTCATTCATTTCAGAAGATAAGATACGCGGTTTGGTTTGGAGTGAGTAGTGTAGTAGTAGTAGTAGTAGTACTAGTAGTAGTTGTTGTAGTAGTAATTTAAATAGTAGCTTGTTCAACCCATCATATCTATCAGCAAGTCCTTTACAAAACGTCATTTTCTTCACAGCACGCCAGAAAGTTTTCCTTTCCCTAGCCAGCTCTCTGGGCTCATGTGCTTTCAATACCAATGCTTTTTAAATGTCCTCTATCCATATTCGCGGTAGTCGACCCCTGCCACGCCTTCCACAAATGTTTATCACCGTCTTTTCCAAGCCACCATGACGCTTGATGTGGCCAAAATACTTCAGCTTTCGGTTCAGGATGCTGTTTATGAGCCAGTTCTCCTTAATGTTCAAATCGTTTAGAATGTCGATGTTTTTCCTTTTCCTGATCCATGGTATACTAAGAATTTTTCGGCTATCCTCCGAATAACGGTCCTAAATTATGGAGGCGGAAAATATACCCTAACAGGGCCTCAGTCACGTGTCAATTGCGCACTTCCAGGGACTATAACACCACCACTGAGAGTATCCCCCTCGCGCTCATGCGGCGTGGATTGGGGCTAAACTAGATGGCTAGGACTCACGAGCAAATAAAATGAAGGGAGTTGCAGGAGATGCAGAAGCTGCTGCTTGTGAGTCCCAGTCATCTAGTTTAGCCCCAATCCATGCCGTGTGAGTGGCGTGGGGGATACTCTCTGCGGTCGCTGGAAGTGCGCAATTTAAGACGACGGAAGTGCGCAATTGACACCTGACTGAGGCCCTGTTAGGGTATATTTTCTGCCTAGATAATTTAGGACCGTTATTCGGAGGATAGCCAATTTTTCTATAACATTTCAATTCAAAAGCTCCAGTCTTTTTCCACAGTGACTAAGTGAAAGTCCAGGACTCACAACCATAAGTTGACACAGGTAAAATGCATGATCTCAAGATTTTTACTTTAACCAATTTACTAGTGCTTTGTCATAGGTTCTTCATGTCGTTTAATCTCTGCATTGCTAATGCAAGTCTTCTTCTGACTTCTTTCGAGCAGTCGCCACTGTTTTTTAATAAAGAGCTCAAGTGCTCTAAATCTGTTTAGTTTTCTGTTTCTTCTTTTTTCAATTGTGATATGTGGTTGGTGTGCTGAATTTACTAAGACATAATTTTTTTTTAATTCAGAAAAAGATTCACTTCTTTGCTGTGTTTTTTGATGGGCAGAATTAATTTTTCTAAACCTCATACACTGTTTGAAAGAAGAAATGTGTTGTCTTGCATATCTAAGTACTGGGATAGAATTACCTCCAATTTTCAGCGGATCAAACCCATATGGGTTATAATTTTTCCTTCGTTTGTCTTTAAAAGAGTGGTTGTCACATTCTGGTTTTCAGCTAGGTTGTTGTATCTATACCTTTCAGCCCAATACATTCAATTTCAGCAAATCCTAATTAGATACACGTACGTCATGCTTGTTAAGGTGACAGTGGGTCTACCCTCCACCCCTAATGATCCCAGACCCCACACGGGGAATAGGCCTATGCCCTACAAAACTGAAAACACAAATTATGCATTATGATCATGATAGTTTATTAAATTAAGGTGCTGCGTTTATCATCAGCATGTAACTGGTACTTTGTAGAACTTCGTTCCCACCAAATCCTGCCAGTAAAATTCCCTGTCACTTCTCCAACCTCATTTGTTATGCTTCTGTGAGAGATTGGAGAAATGTAAAGTATAAAGGTAAAGTCGGGAGATGTGAACCAGCGTCATTGCACACGGTTATAAACCATAAGTGCTCTTCCACCAGTACGGACAGCTGATAAGAAACTGTCTGTCTGTGTCGCCGTCCGCACGTAACTCTGTAGCTACAACGATGTTCCTCCATTTACCCCCAGAGCGTCACTCTGGTACCCATTTCCTTTAGAGGCTGGGTGAACCCCAGGAATCGCCGGGTTTTTAACACCAACCGTGGCTGCAGTGAGCCGCAGCTGGATTTGAAAGCGAGTATATATCAGCTTTACAGGTCCAGTTATAAAAGGCGGATAAAGGATGTTACAGTGATTAACTTTGTAGTGATAAAACACAATTTAAAACAATTGATTTGACTCTGAAAAAGACTACATTACAGTGCTAACATATTATGTAAACAAATACTCCTTGCTTGCTGCTGAAGATGGGGACAGATCGCTTATGGGGTGTCCCGAGTGCTGTGATGTTGATTCTTAATTCAACGTATGTAAACAAATGAAACAAAATAATAACAGATGACACAGTTATATAAGGTATTTTCCCCATGTGTGATCTGGGACCAAATTACCCGCGGGGGGAGGGGGATAGATTTACTGCTGCCTTAACAAACATTTCATTAAAAAAACATCTAATTAGAGGTGTTTTCTTCTAAGACAGAGTGAAACTGCTGGAGAGGCGAGGGACTAACAGTCTGACTTGTAAAATACATGCACACACACAGTGTAAAGTAAAGGCAGCTGGCCTGATGTTCACCATATCACCGATCGATTGCCAGTTGGTCTACAAAAATATAAGTCTGGCATCATATGCCAGATACACCACTTGTGTGTGAAAAGAGCCTTTTACTGTTACTTACTATTTCCTCAATGTGTTTGTGGATATGACAATGAAAAGTAACTAATGTGGATACATTTACTGTTAATTTCAGAGCCTACTGCTGAATCTTTCCTTGAGGCTGCTGTTCTGTCCGTAGAAACACATGAGTTACCTCCGCCTTACACTCCATCTGCTCATGGAAACATCCCAGTGATCAATTGCAAAGTTTGCCAGGCTGTCATTTGTCTCGAAGGGAGACAACACAGCTATGTAGTGAAATGTTCTCTTTGCGGTGAAGCTACAGTAAGCTTGTTTTGTTGTCTTATTGATATGGTTGCCTTTGTTCTAACTGCTTTGTTCTGATGTTTGTGGCTAAATTCTAGAAGGTTAGTAAATGATTTCTGACTGAGAGATGAGGAATCAACAGTCTGCATACACCTAAGCCACATCTGTAAAATATATATTCAGACAAAACGCAAGTTTTGGAAGAAGACTTAAGTCCAGAAGTAGATGAACAACCAGAACTTTATGTTGGAGTTTATGGCTGGTGAACCCAAATAAGAAGAAGAGAAATAAACAAAAAAAATTGGAAGAGCTTGGAGGCAGCAGAGATGTGGTTTCTGAGGCAGATGTGAATAACTTTAGGAGCCAGAGTGTAGGCAGTTAAAAGAGAGAATGGCAGATAACAGAAAGTTTGAGGTCACAAACAAGTTGAATGGGAGTAGACCATCAGGCTGATCTACGAACTCTAGGGAGTCACCAAGTTGACTTTTGAAGTAAGAATTGAAATCACAGCACTTGGGACACCCCCAGTGAAGAGTTAAAATTCTGATGGTACCAGTAACTGTCTGATTGTATATCCATCTTGCCTTTCCCCTGAATGTCAGGCGTTGGCCAGATTCTCTTGTAATTCCTCGCAGTGCCATTCTTCTCAGACCAGATCTGTCTGTGCCTTGGCACTGTTCACTCGCTCCCAAGGGACCCTCACAAGTCACCAAGTGAAAATAGAAAGCAAGTCACAGAGATGAATGAAGGCAGGTGATATCTGCAACAATGAACCTCAAAGGCTCAGAATGCTGACAAAGAAGAGGAGAAGAAAGAGACAAATGGTGTTTTTTGGCCCCTTGATGAGATGAGAAAGATTTAGAGAAACAAAAGATTTAGAGAACCAAACTTCAGCAATAAACCTGGAACAATCAGCACATGGAAGTGCAGCAGGAAAGTTGGGTATACATTTAAATCCTGGCTAAGGCACATTTACAAATGATCCAGGCTCCAAGGTTGACCCTGAGTAGCTGGAAATTGCTTCTGAGTAATATTCTTCTTCTTAATGTTCACTGACTAAATTTTGGTGGAAAGTTTTGGTTGTTTGTCCATTTCTGGGCTTTGATCTTGTTCCAGAACATGAATTTTGCATGCACATCCCTTTTATAGATCTGGCTTGCTTATATGCAGACTGTTGGTTCCTCGCTGCTGAGGCAGATGGACTACAGCTTTGAAGGAAAAGTTCCCTAGTTGCCTTTCATGACATGCTTGTTGGGGAGCATTAGGTCTGTTCTTTTTCCCTCCAAATTGGGTCCCCAGAACTCACATGGGGAGTACCAAGAAATGTTTGGGAAAGTAAAGGCAGCCAAAATTATATCAACCACATCTCTCTCACCATATGTCTAGTTCACCTCAAGGCATGTCGGCCACCCCCCCCCCCCTCCCTCAACCCGAAAAAAACACACATTAAAGAAACAATAATTCAGTATAAATAAGTGATTTTAGTTATATAAGGATTACCCGTGGCATAACCGGCTAGTTGCTTGTCTACAGATCGGAGGGTCATGAGTTCGGGTCCTGACAGAGCTGGGCTTTTTTCAGAAATGATCATGGCTCTGAGGTCGACCCAGCCTTGAGTGGGTACCAGGTATAGTCCTGGAAAGTAAAGGTGGCCTATATGATGTTGACCAGATTATCAGTCAAGTGCCAATTTGTCTTTAAAATATACCATCACCCAGCATGTGCTGAATGACCTATAAAAGTATAGGTCTAGCCCTATATACCCAATACGCCTAAAGGCCTGGAAAAGGGTTCCTTTACTGAACATCATTTGCTGAGGGAGAGAAAGCAGGCATTTTTGTCCAGAGCTGTGGTTCCCTATTAGATCAGATCAACAGACACATCTCATTTGTTTTGATGTTCTGTCTCCCTGTGTGGGTTCCAGGGTTCCATTTTGGAGAATAAAGAATTGATCCACTGCCCCCCCCCCCCTTCCCCCAGCAAGCATGTCATAGGAGGCAACTAATTAGGGGGGTTTCCTTCAGAGCCAGAGTACATCTGCCTGAGAGGCCAGGAGTCAACAGTGTGCGTACAAACAAGCCAGATCTGTAAAACAGTCTGCATGCAAAACCCAAGTTCTGGATCAACACCAAAGCCCAAGAGTGAACAAACAACCAGAACTTTCTGCCCAAGTTTACAGACGGTAAAGAAGACTTTTAAATAGTCATACTGAAAAAACATTAGCAGTAAAATCGCAAAGATAGGGTTGATTTATTTCCCCCTAAATGATATCCTGGACCCTTTAAATAGGTGCTCAGGGGTCAATTGACAGCCAGCTGGGAACCCTTGGTCAGCCAGTAGGGAACCCTTGGTCAGCCAGTAGGGAACCCTTGGTCAGCCAGTAGGGAACCCTTGGTCAACCAGTAGAGAACCCTTGGTCAGCCAGTAGGGAACCCTTGGTCAGCTAGTAGGGAACCCTTGGTCAGCCAGTAGAGAACCCTTGGTCAGCCAGTAGGGAACCCTTGGTCAGCTAGTAGGGAACCCTTGGTCAGCCAGTAGAGAACCCTTGGTCAGCTAGTTGGGAACCCTTGGTCAGCCAGTAGGGAACCCTTGGTCAGCTAGTTGGGAACCCTTGGTCTAGAGCACTAAGTTGTTGATACTTCTGTAACCACTGGCAAAATAATCATGGTACTTTCATATCTGCAATAGGCAACCTAAAATAAATGTTACAATTACTTTCTCCAGCCGCTTAGAGCTGCACCTCTGGGGAAAAAGTACATTCGCTGCACATGCAATATTCTGTTAATTTGTCCGTCTGGTGCCACAAAAATTCTCTGTCCAAGAGAAAGATGGTAATATTCTTGTTTGTTTAGTGTGTATATATTTATAGAGTGTTTGATGTGTATAGTATACTTTGTTTGGTGTGTGTGTGTATATTTACAAAGTGTTTCATGTGTACAGTATACTTTGTTTGGTGTGTGTGTGTGAATATTTACAAAGTGTTTCATATGTATAGTATACTTTGTTTGGTGTGTGTGTGTGAATATTTACAAAGTGTTTCATGTGTACAGTATACTTTGTTTGGTGTGTGTGTGTGAATATTTACAAAGTGTTTCATATGTATAGTATACTTTGTTTGGTGTGTGTGTGTGAATATTTACAAAGTGTTTCATATGTACAGTATACTTTGTTTGGTGTGTGTGTGTGAATATTTACAAAGTGTTTCATATGTATAGTATACTTTGTTTGGTGTGTGTGTGTGAATATTTACAAAGTGTTTCATATGTATAGTATACTTTGTTTGGTGTGTGTGTGTGAATATTTACAAAGTGTTTCATATGTACAGTATACTTTGTTTGGTGTGTGTGTGAATATTTACAAAGTGTTTCATATGTACAGTATACTTTGTTTGGTGTGTGTGTATATTTACAAAGTGTTTCATATGTATAGTATACTTTGTTTGGTGTGTGTGTGTGAATATTTACAAAGTGTTTCATGTGTATAGTATACTTTGTTTGTGTGTGTGTGTATATTTACAAAGTGTTTCATATGTATAGTATACTTTGTTTGGTGTGTGTGTGTGTGAATATTTACAAAGTGTTTCATGTGTATAGTATACTTTGTTTGGTGTGTGTGTGTATATTTACAAAGTGTTTTATATGTATAGTATACTTTGTTTGGTGTGTGTGTGTGAATATTTACAAAGTGTTTCATGTGTATAGTATACTTTGTTTGGTGTGTGTGTGTGAATATTTACAAAGTGTTTCATGTGTACAGAGTACTTTGATGTGTGAATATTTACAAAGTGTTTCATATGTATAGTATACTTTGTTTGGTGTGTGTGTATATTTACAAAGTGTTTCATATGTATGGTATACTTTGTTTGGTGTGTGTGTGTGAATATTTACAAAGTGTTTCATGTGTATAGTATACTTTGTTTGGTGTGTGTGTGTATATTTACAAAGTGTTTCATATGTATAGTATACTTTGTTTGGTGTGTGTGTGTGAATATTTACAAAGTGTTTCATGTGTATAGTATATTTGGTGTGTGTGTGTATATTTACAAAGTGTTTTATATGTATAGTATACTTTGTTTGGTGTGTGTGTGTGAATATTTACAAAGTGTTTCATGTGTATAGTATACTTTGTTTGGTGTGTGTGTGTGTGAATATTTACTATGTGTTTCATGTGTATAGTGTACTTTGATGTGCGAATATTTACAAATGTGTATAGTATACTTTGTTTGGTGTGTGTGAATATTTACTATGTGTTTCATGTGTATAGTGTACTTTGATGTGTGAATATTTACAAATGTGTATAGTATACTTTGCTAGGTCTTGCCTTCAATAGTAATAATCCCTGTGTGGGTTCTGGGCGTCCCGTTGAGGGGTAGGGGAGTAAACTCACTACCCCCAACAAGTATATCATAAAAGTTGACTAATTAGGAGTGTTTCCTTCAAAGTCAGAGTACATCTGCCTGAGAGTGGAGCAACCAACAGTCTGCATACAAATAAGCCAATTGAGATGTGAATGCAAAACTCAAGTTCTGGAACAAGACTGAGGTCCAGAAGTGGACGAATGACCAGAGTTTACAACCAGTGAACAACCAGTGAACATGAATAATAATAATAAAAAGAAGCAAAAAATGTAAGCCATTTGCTTTTCGCTGTGTAGGTCGTAGGTTTTGTTTTTGGGTTCTATCCTTCAGTTTGTGAGTACAGTGTTTTAGTGGCCCCTGGGTTTCGTCAATGAAGCTAAGAAGTTTTGTGCTGTTAATGATGCTTTCTGTAGGTGAATAACTACACACAGGAGAGACTGAGCCATAGGGAATACAACCCGGTAGTGATAAAGTTAATCCTCTACCCGTTAAACATCTTCGAAGAGACAAGAATCGATCCAATGCCCCTAGCAAATAGATTTATTTTTATAAGTGAAACTGTTTTGAAAACTGATAAAATATTAAAGAACAACAAAGAAAAATTAATAACTATCTGAAACATAAAATTATATCTGTACATCCCTGCATCCCAAACAAGCATATCGTAAAAGGCGACTAATGAGGGATTCTCTTTCTGAAGTCAGAGCTTATCTGTCTGAGAGGCAAAGAATCAACAGTCTGCAAACAAGTCAGCCAGATTTATGAAATGGATGTGCAAGCAAAATTCAAATTCTGGAACAAAGCTTAAGTCCAGAAGTGGACAACAACAAAAACTTTCTGCTGGAGTTTACAGTTTGTGAACGCTAAGAAGAGGAAGATGATATCTATATTGCGGATCACATACATTAGATACAAAAGAAATTATGTAAATGAGTTGCTTAAACATTGATAAAAAATTCAGGTCAGGTAGATGCAACCTTCCATCCTTAAACTGTCTTTGTTTTAATAGGTCAGTTTACTTCATATTTCATCTTGATGTTTCTGTGCAACAATGTTTTGTTTCTCTCCCCAGTAAAAGAGTTCTCACCTTGCCCAGGACTGGCACAGAATCCTACAATGTCCCTGAGGTTCCTAGATATGTTTGTGCTTACTGCAACCAGATATTTGCTGTAAGCTGCCATTTTAGTTGTTAAAGTATTTGTTTAAATACTGTGGCCAGATATTGTGACCAAATATTTGTGTGCTTACTGTAGCCAGATATTTTCAGTAAGTTTTCATTTTTTTAACTGTTGAGGTATTTATGTAATTGACGAGCCTAGATATTTATGAGGTAACTGAGACCAGATATGTGTGTCTTTACTGCGGCCAGATATGTGTGTGGTTACTGTGGCCAGATATTTCTGTGGTTACTGTAGCCAGATATTTCTGTGGTTACTGTGGCAGATATGTGTGTGGTTACTGTAGCCAGATATGTGTGTGGTTACTGTAGCCAGATATGTGTGTGGTTACTGTAGCCAGATATGTGTGTGGTTACTGTGGCCAGATATGTGTGTGGTTACTGTGGCCAGATATGTGTGTGGTTACTGTAGCCAGATATTTCTGTGGTTACTGTAGCCAGATATTTCTGTGGTTACTGTGGCCAGATATGTGTGTGGTTACTGTAGCCAGATATGTGTGTGGTTACTGTGGCCAGGTATTTATGTGGTTACTGTGGCCAGATATGTGTGTGGTTACTGTAGCCAGATATGTGTGTGGTTACTGTGGCCAGATATGTGTGTGGTTACTGTGGCCAGATATGTGTGTGGTTACTGTTGCCAGATATGTGTGGTTACTTTAGCCAGATATGTGTGTGGTTACTGTAGCCAGATATGTGTGTGGTTACTGTGGCCAGATATGTGTGTGGTTACTGTAGCCAGGTATGTGTGTGGTTACTGTGGCCAGATATGTGTGTGGTTACTGTGGCCAGATATGTGTGTGGTTACTGTAGCCAGATATTTGTGTGGTTACTGTGGCCAGATATTTGTGTGGTTACTGTGGCCAGATATGTGTGTGGTTACTGTAGCCAGATATGTGTGTGGTTACTGTAGCCAGATATGTGTGTGGTTACTGTGGTCAGGTATGTGTGTGGTTACTGTAGCCAGATATGTGTGTGGTTACTGTAGCCAGATATGTGTGTGGTTACTGTGGCCAGATATGTGTGTGGTTACTGTAGCCAGATATTTCTGTGGTTACTGTAGCCAGATATTTCTGTGGTTACTGTGGCCAGATATGTGTGTGGTTACTGTAGCCAGATATGTGTGTGGTTACTGTGGCCAGGTATTTATGTGGTTACTGTGGCCAGATATGTGTGTGGTTACTGTAGCCAGATATGTGTGTGGTTACTGTGGCCAGATATTAGTGGTTACTGTGGCCAGATATGTGTGTGGTTACTGTAGCCAGATATGTGTGTGGTTACTGTTGCCAGATATGTGTGGTTAATTTAGCCAGATATGTGTGTGGTTACTGTAGCCAGATATTTATGTGGTTACTGTGGCCAGATATGTGTGTGGTTACTGTAGCCAGATATGTGTGTGGTTACTGTGGCCAGATATGTGTGTGGTTACTGTGGCCAGATATGTGTGTGGTTACTGTAGCCAGATATGTGTGTGGTTACTGTGGCCAGATATTTCTGTGGTTACTGTGACCAGATATGTGTGTGGTTACTGTAGCCAGATATGTGTGTGGTTACTGTAGCCAGATATGTGTGTGGTTACTGTGGCCAGATATTTACAGTGTTTTAATTTTTAGATGTCAATATATTTTTTGAATTATTTCATTATTTAGCCTTGATGATGTGTAGACATAAAATATTTGCTGATTCAGTGAATAGGCACTAAGTGGGTTTTGATTAACAGGGTTTTCTGTTGTAACAGAAACTATATTTGTTTCAGCTGGAGGTCTTTACGAAGCTCACAAGATGTCCCCACTGTAGAAGATTGTAAGTATTGATTATCATGCTACAGATCCTGTAAGTTGAGTCGAACTATTGCCATGACATTAAGAATAGAACAGCGAAAAATGCTTTTCATGCCAGCAACGCCTCGGGCTGAAAAACTGTTCAGTACTCGAGAAATGATTGGTTAACCCTGTCATCCAGGAAACACTAAACTGGTTCTTTTCCAATAATTCTGGGCCAGATCTGGCCCATGGAGGCCTAGCAAGTATCCCACGGATCATTGCCAGTTGTACTGTATTAATGATCTGTCGGTGCTGGAGCTCAGGCCTCTGGTCCGTGACATTCCCCATTTTCAGCATTTTGGCCCCTGAGTCAACTTAGTTGCACACACACACACACAAAACCAATTTATTGGTTGAACGCTAGGGTAAGTGAAATTTGAACAATTTCACTTATTAAATTTGGTGGGGGGGCGGGGGGGGGGGCTTCTCAAGAGGTCATGACCCATAAGTTTAGAGGTTGTATCCCAGTAATTCACCACAAACATGGGAAATCCACAGGTCACTGGAAGTCTAATATTTCAGGGGGTGGTAGATGAAGCATATAGTTAGTAATTTGACATTTAATTTGCTGTGCAGTTTTGTCTCACCCTTAAAAATGTTGGACTGTCCGGTGACATCATTTGGGATGAATTATTGGGAAAGAAACTTTTTTTTTTTTTTTAACAGGAGAGCGTCGCCAGATAATTTACAAGGAATTTAACCCAGACAGAAGTACCGGGTTTGAGGCTTCTTGGGCCACAAGGGACGACTTGATGCTGACCACCTTTTCTCCCCGGAACATTACTTGGTTCCCATTTTAGGGTGGGTCAACCCCAAAGCCAAGGTCAGCAGTGAAAAACATCTGCCTCTATGAGGAATCAAACCCAAGTCTTTGGCCGACAGGCGAGTGTCTAGACAATAATTTCAAATATATCTCTCTTGATTAATTTTAGAGTATTAGTAGCTCATTTATTTTTGTTTTTTCACCAGATCATCAGTCGGACGCAATTATGCACGAGCCAGAGGACATGCATATTTTCTGGGTGGCGTAGTCTTCCTTGGGATGTCTGTTGCCCTCATTGTAAGTAACAGCTCAGGTTTTTGTTTTCACTTAGTCACAGACACAATTATCAGAGGCTGTTCCATCCTATTGGATTGTGTGCTTGTCTGTCAAAACAGGGGGCTGTATTCAATCCCTGGCAGAAACTCAGATTTTGTATAACCAGTATGGTTCTAGTGTCCAAAAAGTTTCATGTACATAGGAAAAACTACGACTGTTTTGAAAACACATTTTGACGCGTATCCTCTACTACAGAAGAACACGTACAAGCACAGCTGAAGTTATGCTTGTAATGGGGATGAGGAAATTTGTATTTTTCCTATGTATGGAAGCTTATGGAGCACCCTGAAGGATGGATTTATTATAAAAAGAATTGTGTTCAAATAAATCTCCCCAAACAAAGTAGGTCACTTTTCATTCACAAGTTTGTTGTGCTGGTCAACTTCTCTGAAGGTTACAGGTCTGTCCCGCTCTATTGTTTGCTTTCTGCGTTGTCTTGCATTTACGTTTTCATTCTAAGAAAGAGAATGCCTGTGCCATAGGTTGAGCACTCTCAAGGGGGGTTGTCCAGTTTCTCCATTTTTTTGGAGTGTTAAAAGCGCTGACGTGCTGAAATATACAACACACGATATCTATGTCATTGCGGAATACCCCCTGTAACCTTGGGTCAAGATGACAGGTTCAGGAACTACCAGTCAGAAGTGAGCTAATGTGTATATGGGCGGGGGCGTGGGGAGATTAACGTTACGTGTACCAAATTATCCACACATACACTGAATAACTGTCAGAATTTTATAGAAATTATCTGACAAGAAAGGTTATGAAAGTGAGCGAACGGCCATCCTATTCCATATGTGATTGCCTGGAACTTGGTCTCTGAGAGTCTTGGTCTGCCTCTGCCTCTTCTACCAGTGACCTTTCCAGTTGTCACAATATTTTTCTTTTCTCTTCACGTGACCACATACTTTGTCTACTTCTCATTGTTGTATATAATGTTCTACTTTTATTAGCCACTTCCTGGCATTCAGTGTTGGTTATTCTGGCAGTCCAAGGTATTCTCAACATTCTTCTCAGTAACCACATCTCAGTTGCCTCCAAACTCTTCTTAATTTGTTTGCTCACATTCCAAGATTCACTACCATACAACAGAACAGGCTCGATGTCACATTTCAATACTCGTTTTCTGTAGTTTATTTAATAAGAGTGATTTATAACATAAAATACTTTTCATCTTCTGAAAAGCTGCCTTTGCCTGGCCAATTCTGCTCTTAATTTCTGTCTCATTATAATTTTTTTCAATTTGTTTCCTTTGAAAATAAAGTTTCCTAATTTGGGTGCACATACATATGTTTATTAACTAAACCTAACATAGCTAAAACATCTCCCTCTTTCCTGTCTCTCAATCAGATACTTTATCCAGTTGTATAAATCTGACTAGCATTTGAACCTGCTGTCACAATTTCCTCCACAGATTTTCACGTACAATTCTGTGAGAGATCATATTGGAGTGGTTGTGGCTTGGATAAGTAAGTTGATTCTGTTTTCAACAGGTTCTTTGTTTACTTGTTAGTCTTATTTTACTCAGATCTTAGATAGAATCTTTTAAAACAGATTTGTCAAAAAGGGAGTACTAAAATAATTTGAACTTATTCTGCTGCATACCAGTAAAACTTGGATTGTGAACAAATGATGAAAAGCCTGAAGACCACAGAGCCAGGTGTGGCAAATACTTTGGACTGTCAGAGTAAATAACAATGTGTGCTTGCAAGAAGCTAGTAAAAGTGGAATTGTATACACAACTGTAAGAAAGAAAAAGACAGTATTCTTTGGTATATAATGAGATGAGAGATGGTTCACATATCTCTTTGCCAGATATCTCAAGACATAAATAACTAACAATGATCACCACTATTGACTGGCTTCATGAGGGCAAATAGACTGCAGTGGTTGCGACAAGTAGAGAGAATTGCAGATAGCAGAGAGAGAAAGACTGTATACACAAAACAGTTGAATTGGAATAATCCACAGGGTGGGCTCTTAGGATGGTGGAGAAATGATATACCAGTAGACTTACTGACACTTAGAGTCACCGACCAGAAAAAGTAGACCAAGTGTGGAGATAGATGGGTGTTATCTGCTGCATTGAACCTCAAGGGCTTGTAGTGCTGAAGAAGAAGACAGATTAGAAGGATTATTTGAAAAAATCTAGCGAAAGTAGAATCTTATACAAAAACTGTAAGAAGCAAACTGACAGTATTCCTTAGTTATACAGTTAGAAGACAGGAGTAGTATTTTTCTTTGCCAGAAATCTCCAGTCAGTCAGAAGCTTTCTTCTTTAGTCCTTTGTTCCCCATGGAGCAATAAACCCCGACTAGTTTGATTATTGCAGCTAAAGTTTTCTACAGCATAAGATAGCCAGTCGCACAGCAACCCCCCTTGGTTGTCTCTCCTCACATGCCGTTGGTTATGACTTTCACTATTCCTAGCCTCTCTTAAGGGCAATGGCAGTTTGTGGATTGCAGTATAAAACTGTAGCACCCCCTGTCATCACTCGAAAATTTTGCCACGAGCTGCCACTGCTTAAGGGCTGTGGTAACACACTTCTTCTTCTTCAGCATTCCAAGCCCTTGAGTTCATTGCTGCAGACATCACCTGCCTCCATTCATCTTTAACTCTTTGGGTACTGAAAAACACATCTCACACCAATTTATAACTACCATAGATTGTTGTGTTTTAGCTCCAAATTCTGAGTTAGGCTTTTAACCTGTACCTGGAGAGAATGATGCAGCAGAGAGGGTCTGCTGGCTGTAGGCACCACTTGAGACTGGAAAAGGCAAGATGAGTAGTTAACCTGATGGCAACGGGTTCCATCATTATAGAGACTCTTCACTGGCTGTTGGGAAGGGAGATGGAGCTAATATGAGCTCGTCCTGAATGTTGTGATGTCAAATCTTCACCCAGTTAGGTCTTTATCTACCTAACGCATTTTATTCACTCTGTCCTGTTCTGTCATTCTATGTCATAATAATAAGACTTGTCACATAAGACTTGCAGTTTATTCCTCCATTCCATTTTATCCTGTGCAGTCAGTTTAATATTGTGGATGGAATCCAGTCCATCACCTTTGGCCTTCCTTATCAGTGTTCGTTTTAGGGTTTCTTTTAGGCATTTTGTGCATTTATACCTGCCATATAATTTGACCGCTAGTTTTAAAAAGATGTCTGGGGTTGAAAACTCGACTTGTATGCAGCAGTCGACTGTAATTTAACTTACCTCTGATGCCAAAAGTGTTAAAGATGAAAAACATGCAACTTGTTCACTCGCAGGAAGTTTAAAAAAAAATGTTGTTATATTGCAAGGGTTTACGTTTAAAAGCAGCAGATACTTGTCTCTGAGTGGGTTCAGAAAAGAAACTGTTAGATAGAAGTAAACTAAATAATTCAGACACAAAGTGTTAATACAACAACTGTATGTGATAGGAAGGCAGCTGAAACATTAGATTATCTTTAGAATAGCTAATGAACATAGAGTGTATTATTTGGTCCTGAAATTAAGCAGCTACAAAAAAAAAAAACTGTCCACCGCCATTTAACCGGAAGCTAAGCAGTAACATGGCTTGAGACTTCAAACTTTCACTGGAGCATGTTTTCTCGGTGACTCAATGAGCATGCTTAGGAAGATAGAGAAGGGCTGGGTCCGAAGGCAATGGTTGGTGGCTCTACAGAATTCACGGCTGATAAGGATTAGTTTCATTTTCTTGCCTGGATATGTGGGGGTACAAGGAAATGGGCAAGCTGATAAACTTGCAGATGAGGCTACTGTGAAAGCCGGACAAGCCGTAGACCAGGCTGATATACTGAATGCTCTAAGAGAGTTAAGACGTTTGCATGAACTAGTTGAGAACTGCAACCATGGTCAAACTGCAAGAACAGTAAATTAAACGGGGTGTCGCCAAACAAGAAAACTATGTGGGTAGCCAAAGAAGAATAATAAACTAATACATACTGATGTCGTCAGCCGCTACACGCTGTGGGATTTACTGGGGAGGGGATGCGAGCACTTATGGACTGAGTGGTTCGACGTGCAATGAGGATAATCTGTAGATTAACTAACATTTGGTCCTGAAAGAGTTCAGTTTATTTAGTCAGCTGTTGGTTAAAAAAAATCTGGCTGTTTTAAAAAACATGTCTGGTATCTCACCCACAGGTGGTTTCCTCCTGGGTGTCATGTTCATAGTCCAGTCTGTCTATTACTACGGAGTCAGAACCAGTCCTGAGGCCTTTCCTGCTTTCAACACCTAACACTTACATGATGAAAGACCAACATTTGAGGACTAATATTTCTCAAGAGCCCAGTTTTACTTGATTCTGGTTATAATGCATTTGTTTAAAATTTTTATATAACCATAATGCTGTTGAACTGTGGGGTAACTGTATACACCAGCGGTGCATCAGGCACACCATCCACCCACTCTGTACACAGCAGGGCTATTCAACTAGCGGCCCGTGGAGGCCCAGCGAGTGGCCCACGGATTATTGTCAATTCTAATGATATTAATGATCTTCCCTTGCTAGGGCTCAAGCCCGTTACGATCCCCATTTTCAAAACTGTTGTCCCTGAGTAAACTTAGTTGAACAGCCCTCAGTTGTGCTATATGTCTATACGGTTGAAAGGGGTTTCCAGCAATTGTAGCTGTTTGATTCTCACCCTTGAGATGTTAATCCTACAGAATGCACGTCTGGAAGGGGAACAACTTTAATATATTTTTTTTTTAAATCAGGCATTTGATTGATTGATTGATATTTCACCCCACCAGGACATCACATCAAGCGACAAACACCCGGTGACCACCATTCGGATGAGGATCACCCGTGGAGAGGTCCCAGAAACCTCGTTCAACCTGTAGGGCCCGTGGCAACAGCCAGGTTGGGGCTTTAAAATAACGAAAAAAATTGCACCCAACATGGGGACTAACATATCATCAGACAGATGATGATGATAAACCCATATTTGTATAGACCAGTCAGCTTCAGTTGGTTATGAGTTCAACATCAAACCGGCCTTCTTTACTTCCCAAGAAATTGCTTTGTACCCACTTTAGTTTCAGTCAACCTACAAGCCAGGGTGACTTTTTTTTTTTTTTAATTCTGAATTCACTTGGTGCAGACAAGGCCAACAGACAAACATCTAGACACAAGCTAGTGAGGCTGCCCATGAGTTACTTCCAACTGTCAAGAGGCCAACAGACAAACATCTAGACACAAGCTAGTGAGGCTACCCATGAGTTACTTCCAACTGTCAAGAGGCCAACAGACAAACATCTAGACACAAGCTAGTGAGGCTGCCCATGAGTTACTTCCAACTGTCAAGAGGCCAACAGACAAACATCTAGACACAAGCTAGTGAGGCTGCCCATGAGTTACTTCCAACTGTCAAGAGGCCAACAGATAAACATCTAGACACAAGCTAGTGAGGCTGCCCATGAGTTAACTTCCAACTGTCAAGAGACCAACAGACAAACATCTAGACACAAGCTAGTGAGCCAGCCCATGAGTTCACGCTCACACTGTCAAGAGGCCAACAGACAAACATCTAGACACAAGCTAGTGAGCCAGCCCATGATTTCACGCTCACACTGTCAGTCTTTATCTGCTGTATCTTCTTCTCCTTAGCGTTCACCAGCTGTAACTGCAACAGAAAGTTCTGGTTGTTTGACTGTGCAAAGACTTCTGGACTTGTGTCTTGTTCCAGAACTTGAGTTTTGCATGCACATCTGTTTGACAGATCTGGTCTGTTTGTAAGTAAACTGTTGGTTCTTGGCTTCACAGGCAGATTCACTCAGTCTTTATAGGAAACCCCTAACTAGTCACCTTTTACAACATGCTAATTGGAAAAATAAGGCTGTGGATTTGTTCCTTTTATTTAACCCCAAAATGGGGTCACAAACCCACATGGGAATCTGCTGTAATGGGCGGGGGTGGGGGAGAGGAGGGGGTGTTTTGTGTCAAAGTGTTTAAACAGTTTAACTTTCATTGTGGAAGTCATGGGTTTGTTTCTCTTTAACAATGTAATATTTAAACTGTTAATCTTTATGTGCTGTATAACATTACAACATATTAGTTATTTTTCTGTCTTGTTGCAGCTGTTACCAATTATATTATTGTTACACAAATGTGTGTAACAAAAACTAAATTTCTCTCTGATCTAAACAAAAACTGTGTGCTTATCTCACTCAGACATGATCTAAACTAAAACTGTGTGCTGTATCTCACTCAGACATGATCTAAACAAAAACTGTGTGCTGTATCTCACTCAGACATGATCTAAACAAAAACTGTGTGCTGTATCCCACTCAGACATGATCTAAACAAAAACTGTGTGCTGTATCTCACTCAGACATGATCTAAACAAAAACTGTGTGCTGTATCTCACTCAGACATGATCTAAACAAAAACTGTGTGCTGTATCTCACTCAGACATGATCTAAAAACAAAAACTGTGTGCTGTATCTCACTCAGACATGATCTAAACAAAACCTGTGTGCTGTATCTCACTCAGACATGATCTAAACAAAAACTGTGTGCTGTATCTCACTCAGACATGATCTAAACAAAAACTGTGTGCTGTATCTCACTCAGACATGATCTAAACAAAAACTGTGTGCTGTATCTCACTCAGACATGATCTAAACAAAAACTGTGTGCTGTATCTCACTCAGACATGATCTAAACAAAAACTGTGTGCTGTATCTCACTCAGACATGATCTAAACAAAAACTGTGTGCTGTATCTCACTCAGACATGATCTAAACAAAAACTGTGTGCTGTATCTCACTCAGACATGATCTAAACAAAAACTGTGTGCTGTATCTCACTCAGACATGATCTAAATAAAAACTGTGTGCTGTATCTCACTCAGACATGATCTAAACAAAAACTGTGTGCTTATCTCACTCAGACATGATCTAAACAAAAACTGTGTGCTGTATCTCACTCAGACATGATCTAAACAAAAACTGTGTGCTGTATCTCACTCAGACATGATCTAAACAAAAACTGTGTGCTCTATCTCACTCAGACATGATCTAAACAAAAACTGTGTGCTTATCTCACTCAGACATGATCTAAACAAAAACTGTGTGCTGTATCTCACTCAGACATGATCTAAACAAAAACTGTGTGCTGTATCTCACTCAGACATGATCTAAACAAAAACTGTGCTCTATCTCACTCAGACATGATCTAAACAAAAACTGTGTGCTCTATCTCACTCAGACATGATCTAAACAAAAACTGTGTGCTGTATCTCACTCAGACATGATCTAAACAAAAACTGTGTGCTCTATCTCACTCCGACATGATCTAAACAAAAACTGTGTGCTGTATCACTCATAACCCCAAGGGCTCAGAATGCCCACGAAGAAGAAAATATAATTAAACATGTTTCTTTTTTTTTTTTAAATACCTAAAAAAAATTTATTAGAAAAGATCAAACTTGAACAAAGTAGTTATGTACATTTCAGCTAAATTCAGTTATAAATGGGTAAACTTTTGCCTGAATGAGGAAAATAACAGCATCCCCAAGTGCTGAATAACAATTATTTGGTAATTAATGAAACTATTCATCATTCTAAATGATAATAAATTAATTAAAGTAAATGAATAATTACACAAATGAATATGACATAAATTTTCTAAGTAATGCTGAATGAATTAAAGTTACTAAAAAAAAACTATACAAGTAAACATCTCATCATTATTCTAAATGGGTATCAGGAAGAGACCTGGAAAGTAAAGGCAGCTGGTGTGATGCTGACCACATCTTTCCCACCAAGACATATTGGTCTAGCTCTATAGGTCTTACATTCAAAGTTATTTCATTTCCCTTAAAAAAACAGATGGCATAATCAATACCAATCCAGCGTTTTCAAAACTTGAAATACATATAAAATAAATAAATTTTAAATAAAAAATGTGAGAACTTATCACACACGCGCTTGTAAACAAAAGAAATCCGTGCCATTTTTCATAAGGAAAGTTGACTACAGGAATTCCCTGCTGTCTGGGAATATTACATGGCAAGGTGGCAATCTGATCAACTCTCCTCTACATAAGTTACAAAATTGACAATGTTTACAACTACTTTCTGCTGAGTGCTCCTGTACATAAGTTACAACGGTTCTCCTTGCAATGGCTACCCTACGGGATACAATCTATTGTTTGTTTACAGTCACCATTAGGGACACAATTTACTCAGTGTGTCTGTCTGTGTGTGCGCGTGCGTACATACTTTTTTTCTGTTTACAAAATAATGTTCTGTAATATTTAATATTGCTTCATGTTAGGGTTTGGGTTAGTGATAGTGTTAGGGTTAGTCCTAACTTAAACCCTAACCCCATTCTCAAACAATATTAAATATGAAAGAGTTTTATGATTATGTGAAACTACCCAAAGAATGGATTACATCCCCACTTACAGTAATGATAACTTACAATAGATTGCGGCCCCTATGGTCGCCATTGCAAGAAATGATAATATTTACAAATAATTTCTGCTCAGCTCTCCTCTACATAAGTTACAAACATGACAATATTAACAATTACTTTCTTTTCTCCTCTGCATAAGTTACAAACACAACAATATTAACAATTACTTTCTGCTCTCCTCTACATAAGTTACAAACATGACAATATTTACAATTACTTTCTGCTCTCCTCTACATAAGTTACAAACATGACAATATTTACAATTACTTTCTGCTCTCCTCTGCATGTTACAAACATGATACAATTTACAATTACTTTCTGCTGCTTCCTTCTCTGTTCAACTTGGAATTATTATAGATCAGGCAACATCTAGTTTGAGAACAGAGTTGAGGGCGGTTACTGCAGCCTTCTGCTGGCTTGAGAACCAGCTGTAGCCACATGTTGTGATTGTAACTGACTCATAGAGCATGACAAGAAAGGTGGAGACAAATGTACTCCATGAAGAGTGGCAAGCATCGCTTCAGAGGTCCTGGGTAGTTAACGTCCTTCGGATATTTTCTCTAAGGCAAGCCAGTGTGTTAGGAAATGAACAGTCAAATAGATAGGTTGTCTTTAGTTTGCATTTCAAATGCAAACTAACAGTACAAATCCAGACAAATGTGAAAGGAATATTTGACAAGAAAGAACAAGATAGTGTACAATGCAGAATGGCCACCCTCAGTTATATTGATGAAGAATACCCACAGGAACAATGGGTCAGAGTCTATACAGATGGATCTGCAGAAAGTGCAGTTAGAAATGGTGGTGCTGGAGTGTACATCGAATTCCCAGATGGTACTAGGGATAAGTCCAGCGTACCAACCGGAAAGTAGTGCCATAACTATGATGCAGAAACTCAGGCTATCAAGATAGCAACAGAGAAACTGCTAAATACCAATCTTGGCTCCCAGTATGTAGTAATGCTGACAGGTGCAAAATCAGTACTTGAAGCACTCCAGTCTAGGAAACTACCAGAATTGCAAACACTGCTGACACAACTTAGCCTTCAGCAAAGAGTTGTAATGCAGTGGATACCATCACATTGTTGAGTGCCTGGAAATGAGAAAGCTGATCAACTGGCAGGAGAAGGTGCGACAAAAGTGCAGCCGGATGTACCAGTCACATACCACCCAAAAAAAATCATTAAATCAATCAGGAAACCACCAGCCACAGCACAAGACGACTATTTTATTTTGGACAGATCAGAACAAGTCATTATCCTCCGCCTCAGAACAGGGCACAACCGATTATGTAACCACATGTACACAAAATTCAAGATAGGCGTATCAGCCATGTGCACCTGTGGAAAGGTGCCCCAGACAGCAGAGCATGTACTCCAGGACTGCACTGAATTTGACACATTAAGGCAAACCTTTTGGCCAGAAAGAACAACAGTGGAATGTAAACTCTATGGACCACTGAATGAACTAGCAACGACAGTGAAATTTATACAAGAGACAAAATTGCTGATAAAGACAACTTATTTCAGGCGAACGAAAGAAGAAGAAGATAGACTGTTATGCATCCTTTGGTGGTAAACATGAATGACAGGCTAGATTCTGTCAGGACCATTTAGCAGCAAGTAAACAGGGCACAGTCACAAATAGATCATCAGCCTCAAACACACACTTGGAGTATGACTTATAAATAAGGTCACAAGATGGAATGTGATAATTGTGCATTTAATAAATAAAAAATGGACACCAACAGAAAATTTACAGAGAATTGAAACAGAATTTGGACAGATCACAAACAGCCACATCAGTCTGTTCCAACAGAGATAACGAGACAAATTCTAAATGCAATCTTGTCTCCAACTTTAGGTTACCAGTGTCAGATTTGGACATTAACCAAAGAACACAAGAGACTCGTGACAGGCAAAGGCTATGGACGGGAACTTGGACAAAATACTTATCAGAGTATATACTGTACACTGATTTAAAGGCTCATAAATTTGAAGATGAAGACCAAATGCATTCTGGGAGTCACAAATTACATAAAAACAATAACGACAAATCACAACTTGGGTCTTGAACTCTTTTTCCTCCCTGCTGCTGTATCATTCTCCCACTTTATTATTCTGTCTCCTTCCATCTCCATGTGCCCCCCAGACACACCATCCACTTCCGGGTCACTGAACCATGTTCAGATCCTCTTAAGTTTGACAAGACAACCACGGATACCATCCTGTTTGAGAAACTGCCGCAGATTTGGTGTGATCCCACTGTAGTTCCTCTTGTAATTTCCAATGCTTGTATGCAAAGGCTGAGCCAGAGAGAAATAAAATATATTGTATTAGGGCCAATTTTCAAAAGACATACTGAGTAAATGAAAAGTAGTAAAGCTTACAGGACATTTTTCTTGTCATAATGATGTACTGGATATATGGAAGGTAGCAGCAACAACAACAAGTAAAGGAAGCCTTCTCACATGATGGTGTGCTGGGTAGGTGGAAAGTAGTGAAAGTCACAGGACCCTTTTCAATTGATCATGAACTGGGTGTACAGTAAGTAATAGTAAGAAAAAAAAAAAGTAAAGATCCCTTTTCACGCCTTTTGGCGCATCGGGCATATGGGCAGAGCGTCCCGTATTTTTACAGACCATTAGCACTGTGGGTAATGTGGTCAGCATTACGCCGGCTGTCTTTACTTTCCCAGGATAGCCCATCCTGGTACCCATTTTAGGCTGGGTCGACCTGCGACGCCCATACCACGACAAAAATCCACGCAGCCTGCAGTGGGTTTCGATCGTGGCATGCTGGCTTATGAGTCGGACTCGCAACGCCTTAGTGAAAACTAAAGCAGCTTTTTCATATGATGGTGAATTGGGTATACATAAAGTAGTGAAATTCAAAGGGACCTTTTTTGATAGAATGGTGAATTTGGTATCCAGAAAGTAGGGCAAACCAAATTACCCTTTTCAAGTGATGGTGAATTGGGTATACAGTAAGTAGTGAAAACCAAAGTACCCTTTTCATATGATGGTGAACTGGGTATCCAGTAAGTAGTGAAAAACCAAAGTACCCTTTTCATATGATGGTGAACTGGGTATCCAGTAAGTAGTGAAAACCAAAGTACCATTTTTCATATGATGGTGAACTGGGTATACAGTAAGTAGTGGAAACCAAAGTACCATTTTCATATGATGGTGAATTGGGTTTACAGTAAGTAGTGGAAACCAAAGTACCATTTTTCATATGATGGTGAACTGGGTATACAGTAAGTAGTGGAAACCAAAGTACCATTTTTCATATGATGGTGAACTGGGTTTACAGTAAGTAGTGGAAACCAAAGTACCATTTTCATATGATGGTGAACTGGGTTTACAGTAAGTAGTGAAAACCAAAGTACCATTTTCATATGATGGTGAATTGGGTTTACAGTAAGTAGTGGAAATGCAAGGACACTTTAGGGTCATGAAGATTTTTGGCTATCCTCATGTTCGTAGCATTGAGTATAAAACAAATCTGCTGTGTGTGTTAGTGAGGTTCATAGGGGAATCAAAGAACGATTACATTAACCTGTCATGCATGTCATAAAAGACAACTAAGGAGGGTTGGCTACTTTATTCTGTTTAAAAAAAAAATTCTTTTTCTTCACCTGTCTTTTCATTTTCTTCAGCATTCCGAGCCTTTGAGGTTTCGCTGCTGCAGAAATCACCCACCTCCAAGGCGAGTTGTCTCATTCCAGTTGGCAACTCCAAGTGTTTACAGGTTTGCCTCTGCCTGTATGTCCCTACTGTGTTCTTGGTCTGCCTTATGGACTACTTCCCTTCAAAACTGTAGTGAACAGAGTTTTTTGTCTGTTATCTGCCATTCTCTCTAATTACCCCAACTATTTTCTTAACTTGTATCCCGTTAAAACAAAACAAGCTGTGAAATCCAACCTACTTTACTTTACTTAGTCGATCCTGTCTTACACTGGGATGTAGAGTTTACCAGAGAGATTGTCAGATGTCTCTATCAGAAGTTTTCTTTTTGGCTTTGTTCCATTTCAGTCAGGAACTGTTCAATGTTGTCTTTCTGGTGGTCTGGTTCCCTGATTCTTAGCCTCCCATGCCTTTCGTCGTGGCCGATTCTCTTCAGTACTACATGATGAATGCATCATAACTGTGACTGATCCAATGGCATTTGTATGGCCCGTGTTTGACGATGACGATGTATTGTTTGGTTGCGAACAGTGTGTTACTTGGACCACCTTTCCCAAGTACCTCATTTCTAATGACTGAAGCCGACTTCTGTGAGCTGTTGTCAGTCTCCATGACTCACACCCTTAGGTCAAGACTGGCACATAAGTGATGCGGTGGAACACTACTATTATGCAAAATCCAACCAAGCATGAAATCTACAGATAAATTAAAAAAGGTTGCTTCATAGGATGTTGAAAAGCAGAAGACATCTAATTAAAATAAATAATGACTTATTTACACATTAATTAATTAATTATTTACACAAAAGAGGAGCTGGCCAAGTGGTTAAGAATGTTTGGCTTTCATTTGAGAGACCCCCTGTTCAAATCCTTAGTGAGGATTTGGATTTACAAAAATTCTGTTAGAAGCAAAAATAAAATCCTAAACTGCACAGTTTGTGGCAACAGCACTAGCAATGCGACCCTAAATCCTCAAGCTCATGACCTGGCTGTCCTTTACCACTCTAAAAAGAAGCACAAACAGGCAGCAACGACAGTTTATACATAATTACCCAGATATCCAACTCTCCCTGAGATGAAGGGACAAAACTGAGGCCGGCATCGTCAGATTCTGAGGAACTGCTTTCACACTGGCAATAGTAACATTTACTAGAAAGTTCCGCTCTGTTGTGGAAGGTCACTGCAAAAAGAGAGCATGAAACCTGTCTGAATGTCTGCTGTCATTGTGACCTTCCCTGTCTGGGTTATGGAGCCCAATTTTGGGGGGAAAGAATAGACCCACTGCCCACCCAACAAGCATGCCGTTCAAAACAACTAATTAGTGTGCATCTGCCAGAAAGGCAATGAACCAACAGTCTGCATACAGATAAGCCAGATCTGTAAAATGAATATGCACACACAAGTCAAGTTCGGGGGGGGGAGTCCAAAGTCCAGAAGCTGACAGACAATCAGAACTATGCCAGAGTTTACAGCTGGTGAACGCTAAGAAGAAGAAGAAGAAGAGCATGTTTCCTGAACCCATCATTGGTGTCCCCATCACAGGACGTTGCAGAACCAACCCCAGCATTTACTGGCTTTTGTGGATTTTCTAGGCAAATTTTACGTTCAGTACTTTGCCGCTCCTCCTGAACAAGCTCTTGGTACCACTGTCGAAACCAAAACAAGATAAATTGTTTGCAGCAAGAATCGAGCCCGGCACCCCAGCATCATGAAGCGCGTTTGCAACGCCTAAGCCACAGATGCCGACACCTGGACCCACCAGAAAAGCACACACACAAAAAAGCCACACTGCCAACTACTAAACATGTCATAAGAGACAATTAAGGAGGGTTGGCATGAGACTAGGTACCTCATCCCACAGAAAACTGGCTGCAAACATGCAAAGGACTTGCTGTGAGTTTCCTGAGGGCCTAAGGATCAAACCATTTGATTCTTTGATGTTCTATGAAATCAATTACTGGCACTATGCCTTCCCCTTCTACTAATATACCTACTACTATGACATAACAGTAAAATTAGACAGTTTTGAAAAAAAATGCCTTAGAAGAATACTAAATTTCAAATGGTCAGATTTCCGAACCAATACACAAATAAGGCAAGAATCCAGGCAAGAGTATGTGTCTAATTTTATAAGAAAACGCCGCTGGAACTATGTCGGCCACGCCCTTAGAATGGATAAATCAACACTTCCTTACCAAGCCCTCATTTGGACACCACAGGGGAAAAGATCTCGTGGAAGACCAAGGGAAACTCTACGTAGAACTATCATCAGGGAAGGCTCGCTCATGGGCCACTCAAACATCCAAGACCTACAACAGATTGCAACGAACCACCATGCATGGAAAGTCATGACCTCTGCCCTATGTGTCGCACTCGACACAAGAGGAAAGACTAACTAACTAACTATGACTGCTAATCCTACTGTAAGACCATTGCTCCCCCATATCACTACAGCGACTACTACAAAGGAAGCTGTAGTTGCTTCTATGCTTGCCCATACCACTACAACTACTATTATCATGTCTCCTCCCAGTATAAGACTACCACACACACACAAAAATGACCAGAAATGCATGAAATGAGCAGTCCTGGACAAAGATCTTACTCAACTAGAAATATCCCAGTGCAATTTAAATAAAAACACACAAAAACTCACCAGCTTTTTGAGAACAAGCACTTCTTAATTCAGTCATGTCCAACAGGGACTTCCTGTCCCGTACTGTTCTGTCATTAGGAATCAGCTGTTGAGAGTTAAGTCCCACAACTTCCTGTTGCTGTAAGCTGGTGAATAGTTCCCTCACTACATCATCATTCAAGACACGGACACCTGATAATTTGTCTACAAGCCACGCATACCATGGGGAGGAATTTTCTTTCATAGAGTCTCCCACGTTGGACATTGTTATCTGTGGAGAAAAGGTAACAGTAAAAGAAGTAAAGGACCCTTTCTACACAATGGTACATTGGGCTCAAGATGGTAGACTCATATTTCTATAGATCACTCTGCAGTCAGTGGGTGACGTGGTCGACATCCTGCAATCATGCAGACCCTTATCTGCCTCGGGCATCACCTGGTTCCCATTTTACATTTGGCTGACCTGGGAGTCACACACACACACACAAATCAGGCTCAGTGAGGATTTGAATCAAAAAACATTTCTGCCGGCTGACGAGTGCTGCTGCAGTCCTTAGATAAAATAGTAGGAACACTAACAGTTAATGCTGGAGTCTAACTAATAGTTACATTTATAATCTTAAAAGGAATCACAATTTCAAAATTCAAATGAAACAAAACAAAAAAAGTTCAACATATGCAAAAATATCCATGTGTATGTTAAAATCTGCATCAATGTGATTTTTTTTATAATTTTCAAACTGACCTTGGCTCCTAGGTTGACTCAGCCTAACATGGATACCAGGTTATGTCCTGGGAAGTAAAGGGGGCTGGTATGATGCTGAATTTACCACCCGTCGAGTGCTGATTGGTATATACAAATATAGTTCTAGACACCCTATACGCCAAAGACATGAAAAGGTTTCTTTACCTACTTCACTATGTACAACAACATATCTTTACCTACTTCACTATGTAAAACAACATATCTTTACCTACCTCACCACGTAAAACAACATATCTTTACCTACCTCACCACGTAAAACAACATATCTTTACCTACTTCACCACGTAAAACAACATATCTTTACCTACTTCACCACGTAAAACAACATATCTTTACCTACTTCACCACGTAAAACAACATATCTTTACCTACTTCACTATGTACAATATATTTCTCCCTACTTCACTACGTACAACAATATATCTTTACCTACCTCACCACGTAAAACAACATATCTTTACCTACTTCACCACGTAAAACAACATATCTTTACCTACTTCACTATGTACAACAACATATCTTTACCTACCTCACCATGTAAAACAACATATCTTTACCTACTTCATTATGTACAACAATATATTTCTCCCTACTTCACTACGTACAACAACATATCTTTACCTACCTCACCACGTAAAACAACATATCTTTGCCTACCTCACCATGTAAAACAACATATCTTTACCTACTTCACCACATAAAACAACATATCTTTACCTACTTCACCACGTAAAACAACATATCTTTACCTACTTCACCACGTAAAACAACATATCTTTACCTACTTCACTATGTACAACATATCTTTACCTACCTCACCATGTAAAACAACATATCTTTACCTACTTTACTATGTACAACAATATTCTCCCTACTTCACTACGTACAACAACATATCTTTACTTACCTCACCACGTAAAACAACATATCTTTACCTACCTCACCACGTAAAACAACATATCTTTACCTACTTTACCACGTAAAACAACATATCTTTACCTACTTCACCATGTAAAACAACATATCTTTACCTACTTCACCACGTAAAACAACATATCTTTACCTATTTCACTATGTACAACAACATATCTTTACCTACCTCACCACATAAAACATCATATCTTTACCTACTTCACTATGTACAACAATATATTTCTCCCTACTTCACTACGTACAACCACATATTTTTATCTACCTCACCACGTAAAACAACATATTTTTACCTACTTTACCACATACAACAAATTTTTACCTACTTCACTATGTACAACAATATATTTCTCCCTACTTCACTACGTACAACCACATATTTTTACCTACCTCACCACGTAAAACAACATATTTTTACCTACTTTACCACATACAACAAATTTTTACCTACTTCACTATGTACAACAATATATTTCTCCCTACTTCACTACGTACAACCACATATTTTTACCTACCTCACCACGTAAAACAACATATTTTTACCTACTTTACCACATACAACAAATTTTTACCTACTTCACTATGTACAACAATATATTTCTCCCTACTTCACTACGTACAACCACATATTTTTACCTACCTCACCACGTAAAACAACATATTTTTACCTACTTTACCACATACAACAAATTTTTACCTACTTCACTATGTACAACAATATATTTCTCCCTACTTCACTACGTACAACCACATATTTTTTACCTACCTCACCACGTAAAAACAACATATTTTTACCTACTTTACCACATACAACAAATTTTTACCTACTTCACTATGTACAACAATATATTTCTCCCTACTTCACTACGTACAACCACATATCTTTACCTACCTCACCACGTAAAACAACATATTTTTACCTACTTTACCACATACAACAAATTTTTACCTACTTCACTATGTACAACAAAGGCATCCAGTCTGAACACACACAAAAACAGTACACATTTTTTTCATCAAATCAAATTTTGACACTAAAAAAAAAATTCTAAATACTATTCATCACCTCCCTGCCAGCCGCAGGTGCTGGGTTCAAATCCACAGTGGGTGGATTTGGAAAGATTGGCTCCTAGGCTGACCAAGCTGAACACAGGTAGCAGGAAATTTCCTGGGAAGTAAAGCTGGCTAGCATGATGTTTACTTTATCACTCATCAAGTGACAACTGGTTTACACAAACAAGAGTCTACCATGATGTGCTCGACGCTTCACGTGGGTGATAAGGGTCCTTTCTTTTTCTTCTTTGTAATAAAGTTTCACACATTTAAACAAACAATATGATATATAAAAGTATGCATAGCCAGGAGGGAAGTATATTATTCTTTATAGAGCCACAGAAGGACAGTGGCTAGCCTGTTTGCCTGCTGGCTTGATAGTCAAGTGTTCAAATCCCCTGTTAATATTTTCACTGATCCAAACTCTAAAATACGCAAGAAGAAATTGCCCGGAATTGTTATGCACCCAGCATGAGATTAATGACATCACCCATAAACTGCTAATTTACATAAAAATATGGAATCGGCACTGTAATCTTCATTCACCACAAGGGATTCTTTACTTAAAGTATTTCTGCAGCTAGGCTGTGATATCTTTTTTTTTTTTCTCACATGCATGTTTAGGGCAAGAAATTAATTCAGTGAACTGTGACTAAAAGCTTTAAAACATAGGGAAGCAGGACAACGTGCACAAAACAACACAACACAAATCGATGTTTCAGCCGGGGTCTTTTTTGACATGAACTGAACTAAACAACAATAACAAAGGGGAGAGTACTCTAATCACCCCAGGGTCATTTAAAAAAAAGCTGATGTGGAATTTGCCAGGACTGCTGACTAATTTTTTTATGTTGGATATTTTGTGTGGTTTTCACTGCTGAGGAATGGAGCAATTGTGAGGTCACCTGTTTGTGATGAAATTAGAATTTTGACTGTTAGCTCGACTGTTATATCTCCCATGCTCTCTAGTTCTTTTGCACTTCTTTTCCACGATACTACGGTTTTCAGTGGCAGCAATGGTAGGGCAATGTCTAGATGCCTGCCACCCAAAGGTCATGGGTTCAAGTCCGCATCAAAGCTGAAAATATATAACTGACTTTGACCCCCAGGTCCACCCAGCCTAAAATGGGTACCACAAAATATTCTGGGAAGTAAAGACAGCTAGTGTGATGCAGACCCTATCATCATCAAGTGGCAGTTGGTCTATAAAAATGTTGGTTTAGCACCATTTGCCTGATGTGTCACTGGGGTGAAAAGGATCCTTTACTTTTGACTTTTATCATTTTCAGTCTTCACTTTTCTTCTCAGCATTCACCAACTTCATTCAGGCCGAAAGTTCTGGTTATTTTCCCACTCCTGGACTTTGGTTTTTATCCAGAACTTGAGTTGTGTGTGCACATTCATTTTACAGATCTGGCCTACTTGTATGCAGACTGTTGGTTCCTTGCACCTCAGGCAGATGCACTCCGACTTTGAAGAAAACATCCTTAATTACTCGCCTTCTACGTTTGTTAGAGGAGAGGTGGGTCTATTCTCCTGTTCTCCAAAAGGGTGCCACATCGGGAATGGTTTTCAGTAAATGCTGTTGTTACACGATGATAAAACATACCTCCTTGACTATTTCAAGATGGCTGCTAACAAAGATAAAATATTCTTGACAAAAAGCTTTGTAAATAATTTGTGAATACCTTCTCTAACATATTTCTGGGCTGGTTGAAAGACAGCCGATCAAAAAATTCTACAGTCAAACTTTTCAAACTTTCTGACAGTTTGTTTCCAAATTGGGACTCGGAGTAATTGGTAAGTAAATAGCTTCTCTCTGTTTTGTTTCTGATAAGGATTCTGAAATACTGGCAGACGTCAGCAATGCTTTTTTCCAAGAGATGAGCATCTTTCGAAGACTGGAAATAAAAAAAATGACATAGCAATAATGTGTTGAAAGAAATTGCTCAGTCAAAGAAACAAATTCCTCTAAATCTATATTCCCTGTATGGGTTCCGGGGCCCCATTGCCTTCCCAACAAGCATGTCATAGGAGTCGACTAATTGGGACTTTGAAGTCGGAGTGCAAGGAACAATCAACTGCACATAAATAAGCCAGTAAAATGGATGTACCCGAAAAACTCAGGCCCTGACATGAAGCCAAAGTCTAAAATTGATCAACAACCAGGACTTTCCCCCCGGAACTTGCAGCCGAGCTTACACTTCAAGTGCAAAACAATTAAACAGGCATCTGAGTTGAAATAGCTGGGTACAACATTCACTGAAGATGGAAAAATGGATGAAGAAATTAAAATCAGATGCAGTAAAGTCTTCTTCTTTCTTCTTTGTTCGCTGGCTGTAAGCTCTGGTGGAAAGTCCTGGTTGTTTGTCCTTTGGCTTTGTGCCAGGGTGTGATTTTTGGTGTGCAACCATTTTACTGGCTTGTATGTGTGCAGTTGGTTGTTCCTTGCCACTTGGGCAGAGGCACTCCCACTCTGAAGGAAGTCTCAAATTAGCTGACTTCTATGACATGCTTGTTGGGGAGGCAATGGGTGTATCCCCCCTCCCCCCCCCCCCCACAATGAAGCCCCGGAACCCATGCAGGATATGCAGTAAATAAAGTAAACCAAGCATTAGGACAGCAGGTTGAGGCTTCTAGAAGAGCAAGAAGCGGAACCTACTATCTCCCTCAACATCTGAAGTGGTGACAGAGAAAATGAAGAAGACTGACTTACTTTCAAGACAAACTTATTTAATTTCTAATTGAATATTACAAAATATTTTTGGAGAAAAAAAAACAATGAAACGTAAAAAAAAATATGTGACATGTAACGTGTAAAATAAAAAAGCAAAGGACATTTTTATGTCAGTGGCATATCGGGTTTATGAAACTAGACTCATATGTTTCTAGACCAGTGGGTGCACTGCTGGGGATTTGGTCAGCAGCACACTGGCCACCTTTACTTCCCAGGACATTACCTAGTACCAATTTTCAGCTGGATTGACTTGGAATCAACATCTGACAAAAAAACTGCCTGTTACTACTTTCGCGGTGTAGACACAGGGGTCTTTGAGCCCGAGGATTCAGCATTAAATAGCTAGTGCTGTCATCATGGACTGTATAGGATAAGGTTTTACTTTTGCCTTCAAGGTCAAAGAATGAAGGTATTTTAGAAAAACATCTACTTTGATGCAGATTTGAACCAGACAACCTCATGTTAGCAGGCATGCATCTAGCCGCTACACCACTGTGACTCTCTCCATGTGTTTGTGGTCTCCTATTATTTCTTTGTTCCTGTGGTTTCCAGTTCAAGAACATTATGGCTAATTTATTAGCCGATTTTCTCAACATATGCAAAATCATCACCTTTCTCTCTTCCTTGCCTCTTGATTCTTTGGAATCTCTTTACATTTCTCCCAAAGCCCCATATGAAAGATTGTGTCCCTGTATTTAATTCCCATTATTCTGGACAGGCACCAGTTAAGGAATATTTGTTTTTTAAACTTTAATAATCAAAGCTAACAGATAGATGATTACGGTCTGAGGAGAATGGTACTGCAAGGAGTTACAAGGAAATCTGGCCAACGCTCGACACTCAGGGAAAAGGCGAGATGGATATACAATCAGATAGTTACTGGTACCATCGGAATTTTAACTTTTTAAATGCTGCTGAAGATGGGGATGGAGCGCTTATGGGGTGTCCCGAGTGCTGTGATGTCGATTCTCAATTCAACATTCAACAATAACTACAGGTGAAAGAGACAAACATACTTACAAATACTTGAAATAAGTAGTTGTTTTTTAGCCAAAATTTTGAGTTAGGAAAATGTCTGTCCAATTTGTCCTCAAACATGCTCTTTGAAAGTGATAAACTGTGAGAAAGGTCCTACAATTTAAAAACATAAGAGTTTGAGTTCAACGCCAACAAACTGTGAGAAAGATCCTACAATTTAAAAACATAAGAGTTTAAGTTCAACGTCCAAATAAATATTTCTTACTCAGCTCAAATGATTCCATGTCCTTTGAAGTATGGTATGTATGATGGAGAATCTATGGGTTTGCTAGGAAAGCCAGCGTGTTTACCAAATAAACATATCTAATGAGTTCTATCTAATGGACATCCAGCTTGATATATTAGACGTCTTTGCCAGCCTCCTAAACCAATTACTTCAGAAACGACAGTCCCTAAATCACAAGTCTACATCCATCTAACCTTTCGAGGGGATGACATCACGTGATGTCTATAAGACTTGTCTCAAAACAGCAGTCAGTCACTTTCTATGCTGCTATGCCAGTTCTCAGGTTACAAAATACCCCCATACCAACTCCACAGGTGAAAGAACCACTGCTGCCAAATCAAAGTGTTTATCACCTGTAATGCTGTAGATGTTGGCCAAACAGATCGATGACTGGAGAAAAAAGCAACTGAGCATAATATTCCATTATGGGTGGTAAAAGCAGTGCAAACTACTAACAACAAACTAATTCAACAAACATGATTTACGTGACTTTTTCCCTGTGTGGGTTCCAGGGCCCTATTGAAGGGAAAACAAGAATAGACCCACTACCTACCCAAAAGCATGTCGTAAGAGTCCACTAATTGGGAGCTTCCTTCAAAGTCGGAGTGCATCTGCCTGAGAGGCAAGGAACCAGCAGTCTGTATACAAATGAGTTAAATCTGTAAAACGGATACACACGCAACACTCAGGTTCTGGAACAGGACTGCAGTCCAGAAGTGGATGAACAACCAGAACTTTCCACCAGAGTTTACAGCTGGTGAACGCGAAGAAGAAGAAGAAACATGACTTATCAAATAGATCACCCCGCTTATATCATGCGACACCTTTTTAACTCTGGCTATATTTTAAACAAGGACGATGCATTTCAAAATCTGTATATAATCTGTATATGCAAACCAATTGCAGAATGCTTTGCCTATGTGGAAGCCGCAACAATAAGCAGCTTTAACCAGATTTATGCACACAGAAAGAAAAGTCCGCTAACCTGCATTTGCCCTAGAAAAACAGGCATTTAGTTCTGAATGTGGTTGATTTTATATGTCAGAAAGATCCACTTATCTTTTACTATAGTATGCACCTGGCGACAAACAGCGAAATATACCAGGCAATAAATTGTGCAACATACTGCCTGTGCCCTCTTTGTTAAAACTCCAAAACAACAACTATTAAGGCCTTTAATAATGAAGTCAAAAACTGACCAACTCAAGTGAAACAAATTACCTTCAATCTAAGGCCCAGAGACAACCTTACGAAAAGTTCCAAACTGTCTGAGGCAACAGCATCATCAAGGAGGGAGTCCACAGCCCTCACAACCTCTTCAAATCCTTCCTGGCAATCCCTTTTCACTGTCATCCACACAAGAGCATGTTTTAAATTTATGTGAGAGAGGTCGGTGATGGAAACTCTGCCACTGCCAGTATCTTTAAATAGCTCTGTGGAGACACCACATAAGAACATTGACTCACCCCACTTTTGTGTTACAAAATATCAAAGAACTATTAACACAACATAGTTTTTAAAAGTTGTAAAAGCAATAGTCAAAATGTTTCTGAAACTTTCCATTACAAATCATCAAGTTTTTCTTGCAAAAGTTGAAAAAATAATCAAGCACTGTTCAAGATAACCAATATAATCAAGAAACTTTCAAGGCAAAAAGTTAATGTATGAATTTTAAAACTAATTAATATAAGATTTTTCATTAAATCAGATTGTAAAGAGATTCCAGATAACAGATTTAACTGACTTATAAATCTTTTCATGTAACACTTGACAAACTAAAGGTCTTCTTCTTTTTTCTTTGCATTTCCGGTGGAAAGTTACAACTTTGTCCACTTCTGGACTCTGGTCTTGTTCCAGAACTTCTGTTCTGCGTGCACATCAGTTTTACAGATCTTGCTTATTTGTAAGCGGACTGTTGTTTCCTTGTCCTTTCAGTTGGATGCGTTTAGAATCCTAGGGAAACACCCTAATTAGCAGACTTATATGACATGCTTAGGGGGAGTGGGTCTATACCCCCCTCCCTTTTTTTCCCCCTTTTAATGTGGCCCCAGAACACAACATAGGGAAAACTAAAGATATGACTATGTAACATATGACAAACCAAAGATCTGACCAAGTAACACATGACAAATAAAAAATCTGACGAAATAACACGACACAAAGATCTGACCACAAAACACATGACATACTAAATATTTAACATGTAATACATAGAAATCAAAGATATGGCCATGTAACATATGACAAACCAAAGATCTGATGAAATAACACGACACAAAGATCTGACCACAAAACACATGACATACTAAATATTTACCATGTAAAACATAGAAATCAAAGATGTGGCCATGTAACATATGACAAACCAAAGATCTGCAGATGTAAAACATGACAAACAAAACATGTGACCAAATACCACATTAAAAACCAAATATCTAACCATGTAAGATACAACAAACTAACAAACTTACCATACAGAGCACAATGAACCAAAGATGACAAACCAAAAGTCTGAACATGTAACACATGACAAAGCAAAGATCTGATCATGTAACACATGACAAATCAAGATGATAAACCGAAGATGGCAAACTCAAGGTTTGACCATGTATCACATGACAAACCAAAGACCTGAACCACATAACAGTTGACAAACCGAAGATCAGGTCCTCCAGCCTATGTCTGCAGGCATAATCAGCTATCCAGGTATACACATTTGCCTTGGAGGTCATTGCCTTGGAGGTCATTGTCTTCTTAACAACCCAACATGGCTGCTTTCTACTCCCGTCTGCTCTTGTTACCTGGCATTCATGTTTAAGCTGGAATTAATAAACAATGTGAAAATGTTATGAAAATAAAATAATTGATAACCAAATAGTTTTAAGTGCTTTAAAAAAATGCCCATAAATATTTTACCTTTCCCCATTATCATGTTGCAAGTCTTTAGCAGATCATCACTCTCAATACAACCAGATGGAAAGAAATCTTAATCTTTTCCTAGTTCATCTGCCTTCAGTAAATAACAGAGAGACAAAAACAGTGCATAAAAAAAAGAGTTAAATGGGAGTAAAAAAGGAAGGCAAAGAAGACAGTGGAGAGAGCCACAAAAACCGGCACAAGATGATTACCATTTTATGGACAGACCAGAGCAAGTTATTATTCTACGCCTTAGAACAGGACACAATCAACTTCGCAGCTACATGTACACACAATTTTTTATTGGCCATGTGCACATGTGAATTGGCACCTGAGACAACAGACCACGTCCTCCAAGTCTGTCCCAAATACAACATATCAAGGCAAAACTTTTGGCCAAGAGAAACATCGGTGCAAGTCAAACTTTACCGGTCGCTGAGTGAATTACAAAAGACAGTGAAGTTCATACTAGAGACAACATTGCAGATATAGATAATTTATTTTAAGTGAATGAAAGAAGAGGAAGAAGAAGAAGTGGACAGATAATATACATGTAGACCTACAAACACTTGAAGTCACCAACTGGAAAGACAGGGCTAATCATAGTGATGAATGGAGGTGGGTGAAATTTGCAGCAAGGCCTCGGCATGCTGAAGAAGAAGATGAAGATGATGATGAAAAAGAAGAAGAAGAAGTAGAGGAAGAAGAAGCGTGGGGCCGATACATCCATCTTCGTAATGAAACATATATTTAAGCCGATTCGGGTGGATAAACAGGCAATGTAACTGGAATATCCAGACAGGCCTGCAAACACTTGGTGTCAACAATTAGAAAGAGATCGCTAACTGGAGAGATGAATTGGGGTGGGGGGGGGGGGGGTGATATCTGCAGCAATGAACCTCAAGGGCTTGGAATGCTGAAGGAGAAGAAAATTGTAATGAGGTGAAAAGGTTCATTCCACTAGCCTTTGTCTAAAGATATTACTGTAAGGATGCTGGGAGGCAATGCAATACATGGTGCCTCTTATCCTCTAATTAAGAAAAGCAAATACAGCTGGTCTAGAAGGGCAGCTCTGATAGGAGCACAGAGTACTGCTCTTACGATCTAGCAGTATCTAGAGTGTGGTTTGTCCCAAACATTTTGGTGTTAGTTTTTCTTTGGAGTAAACAAAGCAGTCTGAGAAAATGACCATAATGATCTCTACAATGCTGCCAAGGCTTTGCACTATGGAGCCTCCCCAAAGCAAAATATAAGTTTATCCCTGGAGAGACTGCAAGTAATACTAGCCACTGATGATGGAGAGAATGCAAGGTGGCAACTAATAACTAGCCACTGATGATGGAGAGAATGCAAGGTGCCAACTAATAACTAGCCACTGATGATGGAGAGAATGCAAGGTGCCAACTAATAATTAGCCACTGATGATGGAGAGAATGCAAGGTGCCAACTAATAACTAGCCACTGATGATGGAGAGAATGCAAGGTGCCAACTAATAACTAGCCACTGATGATGGAGAGAATGCAAGGTGCCAACTAATAACTAGCCACTGATGATGGAGAGAATGCAAGGTGCCAACTAATAACGAGCCACTGATGATGGAGAGAATGCAAGGTGCCAACTAATAACTAGCCACTGATGATGGAGAGAATGCAAGGTGCCAACTAATAACGAGCCACTGATGATGGAGAGAATGCAAGGTGCCAACTAATAACTAGCCACTGATGATGGAGAGAATGCAAGGTGCCAACTAATAACTAGCCACTGATGATGGAGAGAATGCAAGGTGCCAACTAATAACTAGCCACTGATGATGGAGAGAATGCAAGGTGCCAACTAATCACTAGCCACTGATGAATTCATTACATAGTTCTGAGGTGTTTAAGCAAGAGAGCTGCCCAATGACTTAACTCGTCTCCTCTTAATGACCACTGCCTGAACTGGTCCACAGCCAATTTTTTCAAAATATTCACAAGCTAAGGTGGAAAAACAAAGACCACCCACCAACACATGACGGATGTTCCTTCCTTAACTCTTTGAGTCCCAAGGAACGCATCATACGTTCATAGTTTCCTACCAAAATGCCCAATGAACACATGATGCGCCGATTTAACGTCTCTCTCGACTACCAATTGGGCCTCTGATGATAAACCCCCTGGGACTCAAAGAGTTAAGACAGGTTTCAATGGGACAGTGAGGATATTTCATTTGATTTTCATTGCTACAGTAATGGAGCAAGTATAGGCTGACCAGACTGAAGTGAAGTTAAAAACCTCGTCTATGGCTATGACAGGCTCCAACAAAAAGTGTGTCCCTCTCATCCCATCATTGACAATTTTGAGACTATTCAAATGCAATCAAAGTCGCTAAAATTAATTAGGTTCTTTTCTGTTTTTTCACCACATCACGCCAGCTTCGAGATTAGGTAGGAAAATCCCCAGACCGTCCCATAGTATTGGGGGTTAGTTTTAGGACAGGTGTTAAATGAAGAGCAACTATTACTAAGGCTTACCCTAACACCCCCCCCCCCCCCCCCCACCCAATTATGGGACGGTCTGGGGGGAAATAAAATAACAGAAAAGAACCATAATTAACCATGGAACTTATCTTACTCGGCATATGCAGCTTATGGATTATTTCTTCTTTTTCCTTGTTCACCAGCTGCATGCTCCGGTGGAAAGTCCTGGTTGTTCATCCATTTACACTTTGGCTTTGTGCCAGGACCTGAGTGTTGCGTGTACATCCGTTTTACTGGCTTATTGGTTCTCCTTTAAATAATGGTAGCTAGTTGGACGTCGACGGCCGCTTAGTCGGAGTTCACTCCCCTGGCTGCAGTGCAATTACGGAGTGGGCAAGTCACGAATCAAAAAACAAAGTGTGGTCGACAAGGCTGCTAGAGCTAGACCACGCGCTGCGACTGACATTAGCGACTGCGTTCTTGCGACGCATGACTCTCGTAGACCACGCGCTGCGACTCAAATTAGCGACCGCATTCTTCAGACGCAAGACTTAGCGATCGCAGATATGAGACCTGCCAATCTGTATGTCGTAATGAGCGATAAGCTTGCGTGGTTTCCGTGATGGGCTCTCCTGTCAAATCCGGACGAAGAATAAACAGCCGTGGACGAGTTAGTCAGAGTTCTCTCCCTTGGCCGCACTCCGAACAGTAATCGGAAAACAAACGAAATAAACGACACACTTACCTATCATCCTGCGGTTGCGTGTAGGGCTGCGTACGGTTTCGTGAGGCATTGTGAATGGTTGTGTAGTCATCATCATGCGGTTGTTGGGTTAGAGTTAGGGGTAGGGTTAGGGTTAGGGGTAGGGGTAGGGTTAGGGTTAGGGGTAGGGTTAGGGTAAGGGTTAGGGGTAGGGTTAGGGTTAGGGGTAGGGTTAGAGTTCGGGTTAGGGTTAGGGTTAGGGGTAGGGTTAGGGTTAGGGGTAGAGTTAGGGTTAGGGTTAGGGTTAGGGTTAGGGTTAGATGTGAAAATTTTGACGTAGGATTTCGAAATACTGGCCGACAATCAGATGTTTGTGGGAGTGGCGCCACTGACACTCTGCCAAATATGACGCCAATAGCGTGCGGCTGGTGCCCCCAATCGTTGGCGAATTGTGCGTTTGATTAGCATCCAGAGGCCCTCGATTGTTTGTGTGTGTATGGGATTGTGCGCGATTATAGGGAACTCCGGCGTCAAAATTGTCAAATATAACGCTAAACTTAACCCTACCGCTAACCCTAATCCTAATTCTACTCCCTAGCCCTAACCCCTACCCCTTACCACGCAAATTTATCGATCATTAAAGCATACAAATCGGCAAAAACCAACAAACAAAACACACCCAAAAAAAACCAGATTTGTCCTGCAGCGTCGAAAAACAACCCAGATCTGGGGGATACAACCAAGCAATGGCAGCCCTGATGTCGACGTCACTGTCTTCTTTGTTTCGTTGTGGCTTTTCCGATCACTGTTTGGAGTGCGGCCACGGGAGAGAACTCTGACTAAGTCGTCCAAGGCTTTTTAGTCTTCGTCCGGATTTGACAGGAGTACCCCGTGATGTGTTACCCTAACCCTAAACCTACCCCCAACCCTACCCCTAACCCTACGCCCAACCCTAGGACGACAGGTAACTATCTCATTTGTTTCGTTCTCTCTTTTCCACTCCGTAATTGCACTGCAGCCAGGGGACTGAACTCCGACTAAGCGGCCATCGCTTTCCAGCTAGCGACCGTTATTTAAAGGAGAGCCACCAAAACCGCACACTGGTGAACAATGGAACATGCTACAAATGCGGGAGTTGTCCGTTGGTTTGCAACTTATCTTACTATGTTTTGTCAAAGTTATATTTTTGCATTCTAGTCTAAAGCCATAAAACAGTTTACAAACAACACTGCCCAACGTTTACTTTAGTTACAGGGTAAAATCACACCTGGACAAACACAGAAGCAGCCAAACCAACGACATGTTTCTGGAGTCAATTGTTTGAACCAGCAGGGAAGCAGGCATTCGGAGTTATCTCCTCTCTTTGATCTTGTTGGAATCAATTAACTCTTTCTCCTTCTGTTCTTTCTCACGTCATCTTTTACCGCTTTGAATGTTGAGGGAGATATAAGGTTTTTGCTTCTTGCTCTTCTGACAACATCGATCCTAGACACGTCTTGCTGTTGTACTTTCTCTGATGTTATCTTTCCATCCTGTTCTTTGTCTACCTTGAGCTCTACGTCCTTCTCTTTTGGTGCATTCCTTGTATGGTATGGTGTCACAAGACATTCTCTCCAAATGGGCAAATCATTCGATTTTTTTCTTACTATCTTTGTATGTTATTTAGAATTGG